CTCCCTGCTCGCTGCAGTCTTTTTAGAACATTGAATCCGGAATTGTTCTGACTTTGCGGCTTACATTATAAAACAAATGGATACACCCACTACTAGTAATAGATGCTTCTTTTTAAAAAGACACAAAACACAGCAGAGAAAGACAATAAAAGACAAGTAACTCACGTATTTAAAATTTACTTTATATTCTGTGGATGGGTTAATTTAATAGGTGCTGAAGTAATATTACTTAAATGAGTATTTGTGAGTGAGAATGACACCCATATTCTATTGTAATGTCTTTTTTAAGCATCACATATCATTGCATTGTGTATGTTTCTGTTGATACTTACGGAGAGAGCTAAATTAATTCTTAAAAGCATGCTCAAGCAGAGCTTACCAAGTCAGTAAAACGTGCCTCTGTGCTGTGGGTCAGATCTTACTTGTCAAATCAAGGGTTGAAGGAGAGAGAAATCTCACCGGCTGCCACAGGAGGCAGGGCAGCGTCAGATTAACTGGGACTGTTTAGCTGCTTAAGATCTCGCCTGGATCCAGCTCCTCCCACAGCCACCAGCCTCTCGCCAGAGACACTTGTCCCTTGGCCTCGGTTGAAGGCAGTTCTCCTTAATGGCAAAGAGGCATTTGAATCCAAAAAAGGAAACAGTGGACTCAACTTGATGGAGTTTTCAGTCTTGATTTCAAAGTAACTGCGAAAGCAAAGGGAAAAGGAAGCTTTAACCAGAAGTTTTTCATTACTGAAAAGATATGGCTGTTCTACGCACTTAAATAAAAGGAAATAATTGCTAGGCAATGTGTATTCACTCATATTGCATTTAACCAGTATACCTCAAAATAATTGGATTTTGCCATTTGATAGCAAATAATTAAAAAAAAATAGTTGTATTGAAATAGTAGTGTATGATCATGACAACCTGCACTAATACCATTATTATACCACTTTATTGCCATTTTACAATAATATCAGAAACCATTTCACTTACCATATAGCCTTGTTGTGCATCATTAGGGTAAAAAAATATATATACCTATATATACCTTCTTAAGAGGTGGACATTTCAGGTCCAGAAATACAAATCCAGACCAAGATTTTGTTTCACCCACCAGTTTAACATAAAGAGTCACTGTCATAGAGTACTCACCTGGTTGACTGAAGCAAAATCTTGGTCTGGAATTCTACTTTCTGGACGTGAAATGTCCACCTCTGACCTTCTGAAAGTCTTGTTGAAGTGTTTGTGTATCCAGAGGTGGAAAATTCTGGTCCGGAGAGTACAAATCCAGACCAAGATTTTGTTTTGGCCAACCAATTGAGTATAAAGAGTCAAAGTCAAAGCGTAGTCAACTGATTGGTTGAAAGAAAATCTTGGCCTAGACTGGTGCTGTTTGGACCTGAACTTATTTCACTTTGTTTGTATTGTTTTTTTAAGCCATGGCGGGAGAGCCAGGTATCCCAGGGGAACCCGGTGCCCCAGGAGCACCTGGACCTGCCGGACCCCCAGGCCCCCCTGGATTTGGAGTTCCTGGACCTGAGGGCCCACCTGGACCCCCGGGACCAGCTGGATACTCTGCACCTGGGAAGTCAGGCACACCTGGTGGACCTGGAAAGCCTGGTGACAGAGGTGCACCTGGACAAAGGGGAGATACCGGAGCTACGGGAGCACAGGGTCCTAGAGGCATGCCTGGGCCTCCTGGTATTCCTGGGCCTGCTGGTTTTTCAGCACCTGGCAAACCTGGAGCATCAGGCCCGGTTGGGCCTGTGGGACCAAGAGGCGAGCCAGGCCTTAAGGGACACACTGGTGCTACTGGTGCTCCAGGACTGAAAGGAGAGAGAGGCTACGGCATTCCAGGAGCACCAGGTGAGAGAGGTGTGACAGGACCAAGTGGGCCGCCTGGGCCAGCTGGCCTCCCTGGTATCGGAAAGCCAGGCAAATCAGGGTATCCTGGTGAGCCAGGAAAGTCAGGGGCACCAGGCAGGGATGGAAGCCCTGGACCCATGGGATTACAGGGCCCAAAAGGTCACACTGGGGCTCCTGGAATGGGAATGCCGGGGAAATCTGGTGATAATGGTGCTCCTGGTATGCCTGGTCCTATGGGACCAAAAGGCCCCCAGGGTGCAACTGGAGCACCAGGAGAACCTGGTATTCCAGGCTATGGAAAGTCAGGAGTTAATGGACAGAAAGGAGAAAGAGGAGTTAGTGGTAGTCCTGGTTCAACAGGTCAGAAGGGAGAACCGGGGCCGATGGGACACACTGGGCATACAGGTGCTACCGGTTCTGTGGGCCCAGCTGGATCTCAAGGTGCAAGAGGGTTTCAGGGAGAACCGGGATTGCCTGGGGCTAAAGGTGACATAGGTGCATTTGGACCACAGGGGGCCAGGGGACTTAAAGGTGATCAGGGAGCACAGGGATTTGAGGGCAAACCAGGTTACCCAGGTGCTGCAGGCCCAGTTGGACCAAGGGGAGCAAGTGGTGCTCCAGGCAGTAAAGGTGAGCAAGGCTATACTGGTGCACCTGGTGCCCAAGGGCCATCAGGACCTCAAGGACCTAAAGGCCATCAAGGACACGATGGGGCACCAGGTGAAAAGGGACAGGATGGAAGTCCTGGGCCAAGAGGATCAACTGGTTCTCCAGGTGCTACTGGTCTACCAGGTGCTAAGGGTCACCCAGGTCTTCCTGGATCTCCTGGCCCTGCAGGCAGTATGGCTAAGGGAGTGCCAGGTCCTCAGGGTCCTCCTGGACTTCCTGGTGCTAGGGGACAGGATGGTTCAGCAGGACATCCTGGACCTCCCGGCCCACCTGGTCCTCCTGGTGAGGTCGTTTTTGAGAAAAGCATGGGACCCAGTGGCATCATGATGCCTGGTGATCTCGTTAAGGTCCCAGTGTCTGCTTTTTCAGCTCTGCTGAACAAGGAACATAATCCTACAACTGAACCCATTCAGTTTGATGTTATTGTATACAATGCTGAGAATCATTATGATCCCAGCACTGGCATTTTCACCTGTCATGTTCCTGGTATCTACTACTTCCACTATAGTCTGCACGTCAATGGTGCTGATGCATTGGCAGGGCTGTACAAAAATGACCAGCCTGTTGTGTTTACTTACGACGAGTATAACAAAGGCGTTTTGGACCAGATGTCTGGAAGTACAGTGCTTGCACTGCAAGAACAGGACACAGTGTATGTGAAAATGCCTAATGTCGATGCCAACGGTATTTTTGCCGCACCGCATGTCCATTGCTCTTTCTCTGGGTTCCTGATCGCCTCTACGTGATGTGGAGTCTTAAAGTGACAGTGCAACTTCTCAGTCCACAAACAAAATCTCTAGAGAGCAATGTCCATGTTTTATTGGCTCATCGGCCAAGCAGGTTATTTTTTTCCGGGGGGGGGGAGGAGGGGGGAAATGATAGCAACTTGAATATACAAGCAGTGGGTGACTGTAAGAAGGAAGTTATTTTATGTTACAGTTTATCAGGGATAGGCTGCAGTTTAATTGATATCAAACGTCAAGGGCTTCTTTAGTGGATGATGAAAGCAGGTCCAGCGTGATGAGATTTTCACAGTGATGTTTCCTGATAATTACTTATTTCTTTTGTATGGTTTAAAGGAAACTATTTTTGTTTTTATGTTTTTTTTTGAAAAACAGTGTTACTAGTAGTATAACCCGTATTGAATAATCGGTAAAAATGCGGTTATATTTTTAACAGTGTCGAATTTGACCTTCTGAAAAGCTGTAAAAAGACAAGAACACAACAAAAGAATCACTTCTGGGAAAAAGTAAAATTAAGTACTGTATGTTAACAATTGCATTCTTGGAATTCTGTATGCTTTGTACAACGTGAGCAAAATAAAGATTTTCATTCCTACTTTTTCGTATGTATTTTGTGCAATTTGTTGCAAAATTATTTTTTTTAACTGATAATCCAAGAAATCTTTCTGAAACAGAGAAAAACTTTCGGAGTATTTCAAATCGTACTAAATAAGAAGGCAAAATGACTATTTACTTATGAGTAAACAAAATACATTTGTATTGAAAATAGCCCAGGACCAATATGTCACCCTTGCAGCATCTTGGCAATAAAAAAAAAATACAAATAGCAGCAAGAATAACCGCATATGAAATAAGATGCAGTTTTCAAGCAGAACGGGGTGTGGTTACGTAGTGGGCAGTTCAGAAGAAAATATAGTTTTCAGACAGGTCAGGGAAGGGAGGGCTGTTTTATTTTAAGTGTGCCACAGGACCAACCGCAGTCTAGGAGATTATCGTCACATTGGAATGTGGGTGTGACCAAAGAAACAAGGCCTGATGGAGGTGGCCAATGCAAAGGACAGAGCAGAGAATTATGGGGTAGATGGGACAGGAGCCACAAACTCCATGAATGGAACACCAATGGCGAGCACAAACACACCCTTCCCCTGGCTGCGTGTTTAAATGGCAAGGCCACAAACTCAATCTGAAATAAGCTCTGCTGAAAAGCCACAAAACCATCTTATCTTCATTTTAATCATGGAAACAAAACAAAAGTAACTGATGCTCAGTGTTGCTGGAAGTGAATTTACACAAGAAACTCAAGTACGCTTGACATGGTCCAGTTTCCCTTTGGCAGATATTAAGTTGCTTGATCGTCCAAGTTTACTTGAGCCAGAGGACAAGGGTAAGCTACCCACATACATAAATTAACAGTCAAGGTTGGATTGGAGTTAAATACCTAGTTCTCAGCTACACAACCCCAAGTAAAAATAAAAGGCTATTAGTTCAGTGTTTCCCAACCCAGTCCTCGGAGAACCCCGGACAGTCAACGTTTTTACTCCCTCCCAATCAGGAACACCAAATACCTGGTACAGGTGCACTGGGAGCCGAGAGGAAGCAAAAACGTGGACCGTCCAGGGTTCTCCGAGGACTGGGTTGGGAAACACTATTAGTTTCATGCACTTTCATTCAAACTCATACATCGAATCTTCACACTTGGACACAAAAACGCAATTTGCACATTAAGCACAATTAGTCTGATGGTCATACAAAATTTTATTAAGGTCATAAAAATCAATAAACCTATGCAACTTGGGTTTTACAAGATGACATGGCCCAATTAAACGTTTCCTACAAATCAACAGACTATCTAAAGCTAACTGACCTAATCCCCTCCTGTTCTGCAACAATGACAATTGTCAACTTTAATAGTACAGCTCAGACAAATGATTTAGATACTAACCCTCATATGTATAAAATCCCATTGCACATTTAAAGTTCATAAATACAGGAGGTGTCAACTACTGCTCAATCCACCTCAAAACAGCAATCCCTTTACACATTGTGTCTTCATAGAATAGGTTGTAAAAACTGCCAAGTCTGTGCACAAAAAGCCATTTAATACTGATAGAGGGATGGGACTACAGTAGGTCAACCCATTCCTGTTTTATTCCTCTTCCACATGCACGTCACTACCCCTGGGAATGGTAACTGTGGACAAAAGTGGGTTCTGTGCAGGAATTGAATCAGTCGCAGACAAGTTCATCTCCCCCAAAACCAGTGCCTATTAACACTCAGATGCAAGTTCTTCGGTTCTTCGGGTGTTCCGTCGAGGTCCCTGCTTATTCCGCGGCGGTGACAGGCACTTCTACCTCGGTCACAGTTTCTTGCGTTGGAGGTTCAGTGACGGGGACTTCCACGGCTGGGGGCTCTGCCGTTTCAGGCTGGGCCTCAGCCAGGGGTGACTCCGCTTTTGTTTCTTCTGCGGCTTCTTCGGACTTGGCTTCCTGTGGGGAGCTCACCTCCTGGCTTGCCTCTGTGGTACCTTCTCCCGCACTAGGAGAGCCTGGAACCACATCGTTACCCTCTGCTGGGGCCTCTGCCACCCCCTCAGCCACTGCTGCTTCCTCTTCTTCTCCTCCCTCCTTCTTATTCTTCTTGAAGTTGAAGCCACTGAGCTTGAAGGGCTTCTTGAAGGAGAAACGCTTCTTTTTCTTTGAGTCGCTGCCATTGGAGGCTGTGGCCCCATCCTCTGTGGGTTTGTCAGTAGCGGCCGTGGCCTCGGTCTTCTCCTCTGCCTCCTTCTCTGCAGCCCCACCCTCGACTTCGGCCGCCTCCTCTTTCGGACCCTCATCGGCTGCAGGGCTGCCGTTCACTTGGGCGCCATCTTCCCCTGCTGGGGATGCATCACCATTGGCCTTTGCATGTCCATTCTCCTGCAGAGGTACATTGTTACATTGGTCATGTCAACAGTACTACATGCCATTTATACTTGGGAATGATGCACCAGCTATTCACAATCATGCTTGTCAGGGTATACCTAATGAAGAGTGTTAAACCACTGTGTCAAACCTTAATGATCTATAGTTTGTATGAAAAAAATATTATGGCTTTAAACTTTGTAAAATCACAGCCTCCTCCACCCCCCACAGAAGCTTATGATGACCATAAACCACTGCACAGTACTCTGTCACTGGAGAATACTCCCCGTGGACACCTTAACTTTAAATACAACACGTTAAGAATAAACCAATAAGCTTCTGTCAATGAAAAGCCGTACTCAAACCTTCCCCATTTCATCTCCAAGAGAAATACTCCCCCCAAAAACACGCCGCCATTTTAATTTTTGAAATTTAGTTAATTTTTCGTTTGGATGTATTGAGGAAATGCCCGTGGGGGGCGCGACCTTCGTTCTGGCGTCCAATTTAGGGCCGAAGATGTGCTGCCCCAAAATGGTTGTCCGTTTTAAACCAAAAGTCTCTGGCTAGACTGTTATCGCCACCTAAAAAGACCCCATATTCCAAGCTTGATCCATGCATTTAATGGCAAGGTTGTTTAAAGCAACATAGCCACACTATGCATGCAGCTGGAAGACACAAAAGCGGTCTAGACTGCAAGCCATTGTCGCGCCGCAAAGCCATTGTGATTAACCTAAGTGTTCGTTCATTCCTAGTACAGTATGGTAATTGCACTTAGTTTTTGAAGAGTTAGGGGGGGGGATCATTTTAAACACCGGCAAATGAAAGATTTGGCGTAAACGACAAGGCTTTTGTCCGCGTTGGCTGCAGTATGAATGAACCAGCAGCGCCATCCTTAAATTACTCTCAATGGTGTTAGGAGTCGTCCGCAGAATTGCTTGTGGCGGCAATTTAAAGATAAAAAAGCGAGCAAGCAAACGTAATACTTTGTATTATTGCTTCCAGTCATCTTCCACGCCACCCGTTTCCCCCAAATCCCTAAAGAAAAGGTGTTTAATTTGGATGCGAAGCAAGCAATCTTTGTCTAGATGCTCGCCCGATGCGTGAAGCGGCGTGAAAAGACCAAGCGGTAAGCATCATCTATCTGCACACAATCCTAAAATCAAAGAGTTCACAAACCAGTTAAACCATTAATCCCTCCGTTTTTTGAAAGTTCCCTGGTGGGATTTACCTGTCCATTAGACTTGGCCGACGACACCGCAGCTTCTCCCGGCTTTTCGGAGTCGACTTCCCCCTTTGTTGTGGTCTTGGAAAACTGCGCTCCCATGCTTTCGGTCCAACAAAAGAAACCAACCGATCCGATAAACGAACAAAGACGCTCAGACTCGCAGACGTGCAGAAAGAGCTTTTCTTATATAAAAAAAATAATAATGCACAAAGTTTACCCTGGTGAGAAAAACTCCCCGATCTTGGCCAACAAAGCCTGAAGGACGGAAGCAATATAAAATTCCCGATTTGCAGCTATCGGCGGATTGGGAGGGGGAAAATGGAGAAGTATGGCCCTCTACTAATAAGATGCGGAGTACAACGCCCAAGTGCACAGATGAATGGGCATTCCCATCGATGACGGCATTCCCGTACGAATCAAGCCAATCAAGGGTCTCATAGGGGAAAAGAGGGTGAGGCATCACACAGGACAAACAATGAGATTGAATCGGATTGTTAAGAACCGCGGCTAAAATCACTTTATTCCGAATCATGACCACTGTGGAGTCCAAACCTTTCATACAAAAATGTGCTTTCTGCATCAGAAGAGATGTTGTATCTGTATAATATAATAGGTAATCGTGCACGATTATCTTGTAGTCCTGTTAATTGTTCCGCAGTGATAATATGAAGTATTTAAATAGCCTAATGAAGTAATTAAGTACAAGTAAGTAATGCGATATAAGTTACACCGTCACAGAATGGAGATCAATATGCATGTCTATCGATGCAGTAGACAGCTAAGATGAATTTTCTTTAAAAAGTTTTCGCAGTTGAAAGAAAACACTGTTGTGGCTTCCCACAAACCTCGATGGTCCAAAGTCTGCATAACCTATGACAGATCTCCGCATATCCATGGATCGTTAAAGTGAATGTTTAAAAATCTTTAGGGAAAAATGTTTTGAATTCCTACTGGAAATACTCTCAAACCTGCATTTCTGAAAAGTCCTCATCTTTATATATTATTTTGTTATGCAAGAACTCACACAAAAATAAATATATTTTTTACCAAAATGTATTATCCAAACTTTAGAAGCTGACTAAAGACCAGAAGCTAAACAGAACAAAACGAGAGACTCGTATTGCTGCTTAGTTGAAGACAGATACAGAATCCTAGTGACCTAGACTGAGTCAGTTTGCATCAGCCCCAGTTGGGATTATTTACCCTTGGCTGCTGGTCTGGCAATACACATTAGTGCTTCCACCTTTGTCTCCATGGAAACTACTCCACAATGTTCTGGCGATGCTCTGGTAGCCAGTGGTGGGGGGAAAATTTCCTGAAAATGCACAATAAACAATTAACAGTGCACTGATATTTTCCCTCGAGTGCTAGACTACATGCAATCCTATTGCACATGCACATAATTGCAATACAATATCACTTAAATTATTGTACCACAGAGTATAGGCCAGAGAGGGAGAGTCTTTCGTTACTAATGAACAATGGCAGGTTGAATCATACCAGACAAAACAACCCCCACCCTCACCCCCTGCTCCAGTTGCCTTTTCAGAAAGTAGAAGAATGTGCGTCTTTTGTCTTCGGTAATAATAGATGGTTTGAATTTTTTCACTTAATAGTTTTTCAGCTGGGTGATCATCTTAACATCTCAGATCAGTTTTTCAGTCTTTTCTAAACTTAAGTAATAATACAATGACAATAGACTACCCCAAGTTACTTGAATTTAATATAAAGGACATTGAATTGCCAATTTAATCAAATTTAATACACATTTAACATATCTGGTTAATATAATTTACAGAGTTACTGTATTACATATTCATATATCCTCAATTATTAGTCATGGAACTAATTTGGAAATGAACCTTTTTCTATTTAAAAATTCTGAAAATTACCAAAAATGTAGCTGCAGCATGTTTTTTCATACTTTGTGATTAGATCTGTTATCATATAACTGAACTATTTAACCTAGTTTCTTCAACAGAAAATTTGCAAGAGAAATTGATTTATTATCTGCGCACAGCCTGTGTTTCTGCAGGAAGGAAAGCATGGCTTATAGGAGTGTGACTTCAAAGATGTGCTCAAATTCATTTTGAGCTGAGATAACATTTTTGTTATTCTACAGTATAGTAAAAGAAGGTGGTTTGTTTATGTTAATTTCTCAAGTTAAAGATGTAACTTGGCAAATGTTAGTTGCGTCAGTGTCAAAAACTTCAAAACTATTCCCTGCACTGTGTACAAATAAAACACTGAAAATAGCATTCTATAGGATCCACATAGCTAAGTACACACAATTCCTCACCAGCTTTGTCTTTATTCATTTTATTATCAGACTCCTATGACTGGAATGGCAAATGACTTGCAGACCTAACTGGCAAAAAAAAAAAAATCTGAAATGTCAATTTGAAATATTGATATTAAAATACTATGATATACACCAGTAGGTCTTCATTTTTCCGGCAATACTCAGGTGAACGACCCCAAGTGAAGTAATATTGCCCATAACAATAAGGTCTCTTTAATAAACCTGGAAAGAGAAATGGTGCTGTGGGCCAATAGGGGGCAGTGTTTCCTCTGGTCAAAGTATAATACACCTTTACACTGGTAGCGAAACTGCATTCATTCCCTTCCTTAAGATAACCCATTTGTTCTGATGTCCATTGGACTATGACCCTGGACCATTGTTTTTGGTGACATGTTTCTGCCAATGAGCGGTTTATTAACAAATGCTTAATGTCACATAAACTGAGAAATGTCACCATTCGATATAACAAATAGAAGGAACAGATTAGGATCTGTTCAGACAATTAAATACAATATGGCAAACAGGCTTCTATCCTGTGTTTGTCTAACCTAAAATGTGCGAATATTCATTGATAAGTTACCATCTTCCATTTATTTCTCTCTCTAAAATACACCTCTGGTTATATCAAGCATGTTTTAATAGGAAATAAAAGTGCTACAGAGATCCGTGTAATATAAAGGGCTCGTGAGATTATTTTGTATGACAAAATGGTTTTCTCATTAGAAAAGGGGAAAGTTGTGTAAGACCATGAAAACGATTTCCAAGCAATTATCCATCCATCTGTCTGTCCATCCATCCATCGTCCATTCTGGTCCGGGGGTGGAGCCTGATCTCTTGATTTCCTCTTGTTTGTTCCTTTGACCCGTGTATGGGTCAACAGCATAAGAGAGAGTTTGATATTGGGGGGACACAACTTGATCATTTAAATGTAAAGGCATATTTTTTTTGGGGGGGGGGGGGGGGGGGGGGTGTTGTAGCAGGGGACAAATGAAGCAAATTCAATATTGCATGATACAAACCCCCGACCCGTCCCCCCCCCCGGCCCCTACACCCCTGGGTATGGTTCATCACTTAAATCATTTCATTTCCACCCACACAGCATTGCATGAAAGACCCTTCCAGAAAACCTCATGAAATCAGCAGTCTTATGATTCGATAATGTACTGTTCTGAAGTGTCCCTGAAACATATGCATTTTATGAATCTATGCTTTTATGGATATGCTATTCCTCGTGTACATGGTGTCACCTAATGCTAAATTATCAGTATGTTTTCATACAAGAGTGGACTGCTGTAGCAAAAAAAAAGACTATAAATTCTGCCTAACTTGTTCCTGTCTAACTTTGTCCTGTTGTTTTTTCTGTTTTCTGCTGAATATGAAAAAGATGGTGTACATTTTTATCGTAATAAATATCAGAATTACGTTTGGCCGTATGAGTAATTCAAAGTAATTTTGAATATTCGCCAAACCTTATAGAAAACTGAACGCACTTGCCATGGGGACTTGCTTGCTTTGCTCACAATACTATATTGCAGCTACACAAATACACAAAGATACAAAATAACTGTTTAATCGGAGATAGTATCTACAGCAGTTAGCCCCACCCCGTAGCCCGTATGCAAATGAGGAGGCATTCGATTCATTCGATCATTGGATTTCCCAAAAGCCGTTCCCATTTGGATTGGCTCTCGGTGCTGTCAATCACATCAGCTCTTGTTATTTTCATTGTGGATGTGAATCTAGCTAGGACATCGTTTGAAACGTTCAGCGACAGAAATAGCCTTATTAATAATATAACTGCAATCACTGCTGACTATATACATAATATCCATACACACGGATTTGAATATACAATACATTAAACGCCTGGGGTATAGGTAAGGATTTTTTGTCTTGAATTTCCTTTGGTGCAACTGCAGCATTTTCCAGCCAAGTCAATCAGCTGATTTAATTGTGGAAAACGTAAGTTAATGGGCGATCGTTGATTTCGTTGTAATACTCGCGTTTAATACCCCTCCCAGTCTGTACTGGGGGCCCTATAGACAAGCGTCTGCTAGGTAATGTAAGCGAGGACGTGGTGATGCATGTCTCCCAGTGCTCTGATTTCCAAAATGCTGTTTTATGGCAGTGCGCTTCAATGCGTTTGCGAAAACATCGTGCGCACGACCACAATGCACACGATCCCCGGTACGTGTGAGCTTTCGATCGGCAAGCAGGTCTTTCTTTCTGCATCCCTTTATCTTTGACGGCTCGTTGTGCTGTGTCGGCGAAAAGAAGCATTTTTGACGTATTTGTGGCTCTCCGTAGCAGCGTTGAATATTGCCATCAGTGAATTTGCTATGTTTGCCACTAGCGCCTTCTATAAATCTGACCAATACCCATTTTTAGTCACCCCTTCTAAAAATCTATATTGTGTGATAATTTTAACACCCCCCGATTGAAAATATCGGTGATTTCGTGCGTGCGTGGATAGGACTTAAGTGCAGAAGAGGCTGCTTACAAGCCTTCTGGTTTTACATATCGAGCATGGTCATTAAACGTGCAAGTTTCTTTATCTTCTGATTAAATGACATCTCCCTTCCATAGTTGGTCGCAGCCAAGCCCCATTTGACGGAAGTGTGCTGGATAACTTGCTTCATTGTGCCCGACTTTTTAACACCGAGCCCTACTGGGGGATGCGAGCAGTGCCCAGCGCTGGGGTCGCATTTAATTTGGAGGGCATGGGCCTTGTACAAAGGCAGCCAAATGCCATATGGACCTATTGGATGCTCAATAAGAAACCCACTGTTTTTTTGACCCTGCGGACAAATGGAAAATAACCTAATATTATTACAGATTGCTTTATTAGAGTCACTTTTGTATACTATATAAGGCATATATAAGGCAATCATTGTGGTACTGTTGTAGCTTCTTGATTGTTATTGACTATATGTTGGAGGGAAATTAATAGTATAAGGGCAGTTGCAATTCTTGCACCAAAACACAGTTGTTTTTATTTGGTAATCTTAATTTTCCTGGTAGGTTCCAGGTGAATATACACTGAAAGTACCAGGTTTCATTTTACGACCAAAAGCACCCTAATTGATTTATATAATCTGTAGAATAAGTTACCCACCTGTCAAAATACAGTATATATTTCATTATTCCCAGTCTTGCATAAATCAGTAGCTGGTAACTTCCTCATAGGTGTGAAGTTTTAGAGTGTGTATGTTGTGGGGTCTGTCTTGTTAAAAATAGAAGCGTATATTGGACAAGTTTAGCTATATATTTTGGAGAAGGTGGCAAAATGGATTTCCTTAAACAGAAATATGTTATCGCTTTGAATTTCTTGTAACTTGGCAGTTATTTATATTCTCGCACTAAAAATCTTTTTTGATACTACAAAATGCTCCATACTTGCATTTGTAGTGAATTTTGTCTTAACTCCCTTTCATTTGAATCTCTTACATGTTCAGTGCAGGGTAACTAAACTTTTTTTTTTATGAGTTATCTCATAAAGATCACAGTCATTTTTCAGTGTTGTGCTAATTCAGTGCTCTGAGTCCCTAAGCCCCCACCACCCTGCCCTCTGTAACTTCGTACTAACGAAGCCATCCACTGCTGATCATTTTCCCACTAACAAACAAGGCAGCGGTACTCAGACAGTCAGTAACAGCAAAACAGAAATCAACAAGTTTCACATCTGACCAGCAGACTTCAGCGTCAATGTTTTAAACCTGCCGTCGTCTTATACTGAGATGCTTGATAGTGCAACTCTTGAAGAAAAGCAGCTAGAGAGAATTGAAAAAGCAATCTATTACTCCTTTGTGTGGCCTGGCGATCTTCATGCCGAGGAATGCAGTAGAGCTGAATTGTGTTTGTGTGTACTGCCTTCATAATAAACAATAATTAGTGGAGCGATTGAGTGTGGGCGTGTCTCGCGTATTTCAGTGTAATGCTGAACCCAGCGCTCTGGTACATTTCTAAGGCTGCTTTGTGAAGCCTCTGTTGAAATTGAAGGTTTCGGTTTAGTAAGTCAAGGAAAATGTGATTCTTCTCTGCCTCGTATCTCACCATATCCTTATTGATAAATGCCAGTGTAAAACCTGTTGATGTTAGCAACTAGACGTGTTGCCCGCCTCTTTGTTAGAGGAATATATCAAGTGCTTATAAATGCTTTAGGGATCTTTGTCAAATTTTGAGTATTTCAAGGTAAAAAAAAAAAAAGATGTATTCTCTTCACTGTCTGGGGATGATTGTTTTGATATTTCAATTTAAATTCAATTTATTTGTCATGCGTTTGTTGACATAGGGTCAGCATTGTAATGAAATATGTTGGACAAGAAGATAAAGGAAATAATTAGTTTCTTTAAAGTGACAGTGTTTATAAATAGGCTATATATTACACCCACCCACACATGAGGATGAGGATGATGATCTAGTCTGTTTTTCCCTGGACAACAATTTTGCTGTGCCTACATTTGGCGGTTGCCTCCGTCTTCTGCGATTCTGCTCTTTATCTGATACTTTGCTTGTAGTACTGATGGTAAAGACCTTATCTTCTTTTCCTCTTGGCCTCAATAATTTCCTTCTGCCGCACATTGTCACGGGTAATTGAATCATGCTCTGATCTGCTGAGGCCCCTCTATCATCCTGTAGACAAAAGCACTAATTAAAGCATTTAACGGTGAAGCAAACTGATAGAAATGCAGTAAAATTAATTTGTTGGTTTTAAAGCTTGGTCTAGCTTTTCGATTCACTGCAGAGTGGCATAAGAGTAACGCTGTACTGACCTTCTGAGGTTTCTTTTCTGTTTGTTAAACACGGTAATGAAATGTTCGATTGTGTGTAAATGGCAACTCTTTATCTAAATGACTGCTTTCACTTTCCAGAAATTTCAGGCACATCAGTTGACACGGGATACATTATGACTTATTGAGTAGCGTTATGTGCTTAAGTCAGCATTTTTTGAAGCTTGGTAATGAAGGTAATTTTACTCGGAGCTAACAATCCGATTCATTATCCTGAGCATCTGCTTAATTGTAGTGAGCTCTGAAATTCTTTTCCTTGCAATGTTTATAGAGGCTGTGATCACCTTTATGGTAATGTACATAAGCTTTATGAGATTAATTCTGCGTGGAACATAACACAGTGGGGCGTGTCCATGGAGTTTGCATGTTCTTGTGCTTCTATGGGCACCTTCAGGTACTCAAATTTGTTTCCCGTGATGCAAAACGTTTCTTAATTGTCCATAGTGTGTGTCCTGTAATGCACTACCGTCCCATCATGGGTGTGTCCCATGTGTCCTGGGACAGGCTACCAACTCACTATGACCATCTACTAAATTATATGACAGATTATATGAAGTCAAGTTATACAAAAGTTTCCGTAGACCACAGTGATCAAGTGGGTACTCTGTGGGTACTACTTCTGTTAGCTAAACTACATCAAGCTAGCTTGTCAAAGGCTTCCCGTTATACAGACATCTTAGCATACCAGGATAAAACAAATGTAAAGTCATAAACACAGTAGTTTAGATGCCAGTCTGCCTTTCATTAACCAATAAGAACGCACCGCATAAATTTCAGACACAATAATGTCATCCTAGGCAGACTATAGAGTATTTCTGTGAAAATAACTAGTTAAAGTCTAATCATCTTCCTCTTCACCATGCCAGCAGTTGTTACTAAATATAGATCCGGTTCTGCCAGCCAGAATTAATGAATAGTTTTGCTATGATGTTTGATTTCGTTTAATGTATATATTTAGATCTTCACAAATGCAAAATATCCATATAACTGCATATAGTTATAATGCTAGAAAATTATCATTTCAAAGTGGTTAATGTTAAATACTGTCATATCAGGAAGGTGCACACCTTTTTCCCCATCATTTCAATATCAATCCTTGCTGTGAAGCTCTGTTACTGAAGTTCTGGGGTTTAGCTTATCCATGTGGTATTGGAGGGGGAATAAAAATGGATAAGTTACTGATTTACTTTCTGTGGCTTTGTGGTGCTGACACGTTGCTTTTAACTTGTTAATTATTTTTCTGTTAAATATCATATTATCGCTGCATATTACAGCACTGTTTTTTCCTGAATGCATATTTAGGCCTGACATATCGAACCTACTTTGTACAGTTTTGAAATAACTATGCGTTTTAAAGCCGCAAGTCTCAGCATTAAAGGCAAAATCTACATACTTTTGAATAGCTTAGTGATAGCTCAGTGTGTTTACTTTTCCATAGTTAGTATTAACCTAAGACTGATACTGGATGGAAAAAATGTTTGCACAGTAGGCGAGCAGTGTATTGAGCTATGAGAGGGAGGGAGTGGTTTTTTTGTCCATTTCTCTTAAAGTAAAAGAGTAAAAATTAAAGCAAAAATGTAAACCTCACTTTCTTTCCCAGTAGACAGACGATCGGATATCCTGGAGGAATACTGTGGATACGGTCTCCTGTAAATGATGTTGACTTTAGTCATGATTTTAAAGTACTTTTCACACATGCTTTTAAATTTAGAATCTTTACTTAACTGGTAGAGAAAAAAAAGAAAAACTTCCATATTTTTAGTCGAATGCAAGTTGCACATAGGAAGCAATACAGAGTTATGCATCACCAAGTAAAATGGAACCTGAGTAATTTACCCCCCCCCCCTTCTTCTCTCTGCAGGTGCTTTTATTTTTTTTGTTTTTCACTTTTCCTGTGCACAAGGCAATGTGGAGGAAATAAAAGATCCTGATATACTGAAAACAGAGGTAAGTGTGGTCACCACGGGAACCTCACTGCCATGACACAGTGATTGTGGTTCTGCTTGATGCTGTGTTGTGTGCTGCCTACGGGTGTCACTGTGCCTCTGGGTAATGCTCACAGCTCCACAGAAGGAGGTTTAAATTCCATCACAGCTGTGCAGTTTGCATGTTCTCACTGTATTGCATGGATTTTCACTTCATCCTGTATTTTTTTCCCGCAAGGATATCCGATTGGGTGATTTGGCATTTCTGAACTGCTTATTATGTGTATGTGCCCTGCCCAATAATTTTTTCAAGAGGAGGCAGAGAGGGTTTTTTCATTATCCAATGATATGTTTTTAATTTGTGAGTGACAGAAGAGGGGCACTCCTGGGGCCAATCAGAATTCCACATAGGGCCACCCTCTGACTGGCATCCTGTCCAGTGTGTTCCCCTGCCAGTGATAGGTTCAAGACCCCCCCCCCCGACCCTACACTAGATCAGTAGTTATGGAAAATGGATGGATTTCTCTGAGGAGGGCACACAGAGGAGAAAAAAAGTCACCATTCAGGGAAAATGAAAATGATTTCCCTTTGTAAGGAAAGTGGATGAGTTTGAGTTTTCTGCCCTAATTCCTGGCCCAGCAAATCATTATATTTTCCACTTGAAATGTCTTTGCACAAAGGATGGCATCTTCACTCAGTTATAATTATTAGGTTGAAATAAAGGTATAACTAGTTAAAGCCCCTCAGTGCTGATTCGACTGGATCGCTGCCCTACATTCAGCAACCATCCGCTGGGAGATAATGATTCAAAGCCGCAACTCGAAACACCAGCCAGGCAACTCTGAGGCAATATCTGTGGTCCAAAGACGCAGGGAATGCGGGATTATTTTCCAGCTTAAAGCGCAGAAACTGGATAGATGAAGCATGGCGGTGCAATGTGTTGACACATTTTCAGAACGCTCGTCCATGCACAGCTGCTGTTGTAGATCCGCGTGTTTCGTGTTCTAGTCGTTTTGTGGCCCTTTTTTGACATTTGTGCTCGTCGCAACAGGGATGCAGGCACGGCAATATCCATCCGCAGCCCGAATGCCTAATATTATGTGCTGGTTTGTAGCAAACAGAAATTCTTCTACCGGGTAGGAAGCGCAGTATTTATATATCTGCCAATCTGAGTAAAATATTTACGTTTTTTCATGGCAAGAACGTCAAGTACGTCTCTTTTTGATGTTGCACCCCCCACACCCAACTCCCATCAAGACATGTGACCTGACTATGTTTCCGACTTATTGCAGTGTGTGTGTGTGTGTGTGTGCGTATTTGTGTTATATATATATTGCATTGTGGGGACCTAATGTGATTAAAAACCTGTCATTTTGTACTTTGTAAACTTAATGTATTAAAAATCTGTGACTTCAGTTAAAAAGCTTTTCCCCATATAAATGAGTGGACGGTCCCCACAAAAATATGGATAAAAACCCGTGTGTGTGTATGTGTGTGCGTGCATGCGTGCGCACACTGTATTTCCATTGTCGGATGTGGACCCTCTTAACATGAACGTGAGTCTGTCCTCACAAACAATTTCCTAACTGTATATGAACATTCTCAAGAAAAGTAGCACACACACTGTGAATAGCAGACCTTGTGTGGGTCTCTCAATAAGGTAAAATGCTTCTTTTATTCAAATTACGTAAGCTTAAAATAAAACAATAATAAATGCTAAAAGCCTTTTCTTGTTTATCATCTTATGCATGTTGCTCCTATGATTTTTATAACTTAATATAAGTCCTTTAATCGCTGCTTCTGCTAATTAGCATGCATGAGTGTGTGCGTGTGTGTAACACCCTCTGCGCGTGTTCCTCCCCGCGGTCTGACCGCTCATCACCCAGGGCACGTGTCCCGGTTCATGGGTTTATGAGCTCCTTTGCCACATGGGAGTGCCGCTGTCTTAAGCACCTGGATGAGTGTCTGGGTTGTACCAGAGAGGCAATATCAGGGGACAAAAAGGGGCGTTAAGAGTGGGAGGCAGAAGGTAGGTCAACCACAACCCCCTGCCCCCCCCCCCACCCATCCCGTCTGATCGGAAATGACCAGCATTCATCATATCATAGGAATATGGGAAAAAACAGTGCGGATAAGCATGTAGCTTGACGTTCTGGTTAGCGGGCGAGCTGCACGCTAAACTGCGTCGCTTGGCAATTGTTCGGGGTCGCATGGAGCTGAGATCAAACGCCCTGATGTGCTGGCTGGGCCAGCCTCGCGGGGACCGGCGAGAGGGAGACGGGGAGAGAATTTAAGTTTCAGATGAACAGGCAGGACACGCTGCGGCAGATGGCGCCCCAGCTTCCCGATGGCGCCGGTGCCTCTCTTCATACTCCATTTAATTTCGAGCAAAAACACTTTGAGTGATAAACGCATGACTGGCGAGTGGCTTCAAATGTACGACCTCCACTTAGAGGCGGCGATATCCAAAAACGTTATTGATGTTTGTCAAGCACCCATCTCATTAAGTATCATTTTAGTAATTGAATAACAGTCCTTTCATTCAAATATTAAGTATTCCATTAAATATTTTTAAATGTGGTTACCTTAGTGACAGGGAAAAGGATATTCTTAGATAACAATAAAGCTATAAATGTTCTGACTGGTTTTGGATATCAGTGTCATCACTTTATATCTGTTTTGAAGATTTGCTATGAATTAAACAGGCCAGATCTTAATGAGGTGGCATAAAGATGAACTACGGCTGTGCTCAGCGTTTAGCCTGAGGCGTTTAGCCGCACGTGAGCTTCTCGGTGAAGGACTTCCCCGAACACCCGAGACGGGCAGACCTGATACCTTTCACCTCCACTCTGGGGAAAAGTGTGACGGTGGTAAGGATGGGGTGGCACGTGGTCGTTTTAAGACACATAATCATAAATAACCCCCCCCCCCCCCCCTTTCATGACAGAGATTCAGAGATTCCCGGCAGTATTAAGTCTCCCTGTTATTTCGAGCTACATCTAAAACGTGCTTATAAATCCTTCTCGGTCGCCTCTGTTTAAGTTGTAGTAATGTGGGTCCAAATCAGGCTGAAGCTTCATGCTCTCTCACCTAGTAATGAATCCTATGCAGCCTGAGCGTTTATAGCAACATTGAGGTGTCAGCTAATGGAATAGCCAGGAAACCACAACCAAAAGACCATAGATTTTTTTTTTATTATTATTTATTTCCCCCGCAATGCCACAATAAATTATAAACTATCCGAATATCACAAGTTATGCCTTGCAGCTGGTTCATAGTCCCAGTGAGGCAACAGTCTCATCTACTCCTCTTAATGGTATTCTGTAATACCTTACCTGAGGTGGAAATTGGTCCTTTTTTTACCGATTAGCATCTGTTTATGCTCGCAGGGAAAGCTAGCCTGCTCATTCCCGACTCGATGGTGATCAAATGTGATCTGAAAGTGTCGCACTTGGGCGGGTCCCAGCTGATTTTGGAATGGCATTCCGCAAAGCGATCATTAGCCAGCGCTGTCCTGAGGGGGGGGGGGGGGGGAGAGAGACGTGTGTGCTGTGAGTTTTTAATGGATGGCCGCTCCTTGCATTGAAAACCTGCTCAACGCTCAGATATATAGCATAACCTCTTGCTTTAAGAACAGTTAGATAATTGGGGTTCTTTTTTTTTTTTTTTCTTTTGGGCTGCATGGTGATTCAGTGGGTAATACTGTTGCCTCACACTTCCAGGGTTGCGGGTTTGAGTGTGTTGAGATGCAGCTGCAAATCGTACCGCATTAAAATCCAAATCAACGTGAAGACAAATGTGCGTGTGTGTGTTTGTTAGACAGGTATGCATAGTAGTACTGTATGTGCCATTATTCACTTAATGACAGGTGGACCTGAACCACAGTTAATGTTCAAACATTTCATATATTTCTCTGGAAGAGATTAACCTGCAGTATTTTTGGTCGTTTTGCAGTCTTGTGTTTATAGGTTCCTAAGGCTTCTTAAGATGTATGTGCGAATACTTCTGGAACAGATCAAAACGTTTGCATCAGGCTGCGTATGGAGTGATTGAATAGCTTTGCTGTGTTTGAGATGCTTTTATTTATGTGAAAGAAAGCAGGCCATTTTTTATCGCCGCCGAGTCATTAAGCTACACGTCAGAAACGTGTTGTTGAAGTCGATGTAAGAAGCGTTTGATTTGTGAGGTCTGATTGGTTAGGGCAGTTCTGTTTTGATCTCATCAAGGCTGTTTCCTTTAGATGTTTTAGTTGTTTTTGCTGTTTTCATGGTTTTTGAGCCTGAAAATGCTGAACAGTGTTTGGCTTGCTAGGTCAAGGGTCAGTCCTAGTGTCCAGAATGTTGTAGGTTCAAGTCCCATGAGTGTTAGAGTAATTATCACCCTCGTGCAAGGCTCTTAATTCCAGCTGCTCCAGGAGTGCTTGATCAGCTCTAACCACAAGCTTCTCTTATTTGTGTGTCGCTTTGTGCAAAGGTGTCTGCCAGATGAATATAATTGGACAAAGTGATTCTTTCCCGCTGAGCCGTCTTGAAGTTACTGTGCCAGAGTGGGAATGAAAGTCTTTTGAAAGGGATAAATTCTCCTCCTACGCAGTCTGTGATTTGGAAGTCGCTGAGAGGGCTCTGGTTGGTTATTTTACAGATGCCAGCAGGCATTGTTTAGTTATTTATTTTTTACTGTAACAAAATGTAATGATTTAAAGCGGCTGATTTTGGCTTTTCCCGTGGATTGGCTAGCGGGAGAAGTGTCACATGACAGCTTCCAGCTTTTGAAGATGCCGCCCTGCTTGTCTCTCATTATTTTCCTTCTGTTCTCCATCTCCTTATACGGAAGTGATTAGCGTGTTTTTGGTGGATGTATCTGGAAGCCAGAGGAACGCGGCGTTTGGTCACTGGGTGCATTAAGAGCTCTTTGGCATGATGCAGGTTTATACTGACGCCCAGACGTGCCTTCAGTGATAATGGATACATGTAGGAACCATACGGAACAGCCGTTTAATTTCCATTTAACATCCAAACCACAAGTTGGCAGCTGTCCAGCTGTATTCTGTGCCTTAATCCTTTTTATCTCTCTGTACTTCAGTGATTATGGTGAGCATGTCCGAACAACATGTTGGTAGCGTTCTGTGTGCCAATGTATTCTCTCACTCTTCCTTTCCCTCTCTCTCTGTTTTTCCTCTTCTCGTGCTTTCTTTTCCCTCTCTCCTTTTCCCTCATTCTTCTTCTCCCTCTCTCTTTCCCCTTTCCCCCTCTGTTCTTCTAATTCTAATCTCTCCCTCTTTTTCCTCTTTCCCTCTCTTCCCCCCTTTCTACTTCACCCCCTCTTTTCCCCTCTCCCCATCTTCCTTTCTCTCCTCTCTCCCTCTCTCTTCTTCCATGTCCCTTTCTTTTCCCCTTTTTCCTCACTCTCTCCCCCTTTTCCTTTCTATCCTCTCCCTGTCTCTTTTTCCCTTCCCTTTGTTTCCCCTTCTTTTTTCCTCACTATTTCCCCCTTTTCCTTTCCTCTCCTCCCTCCCTCTCACTTCCCCTTCCTACCGTCTTTCCCCCTTTCTCTCACCCCTTTTCCCTTCTCTCCTCTCCCATTCTCTTCCTCCTTTTTCCTCATGTTCTCCCCCTTTGCCTCCCCTCTCCTCTCTTCCTCTCTCTCTCCCCTTTCTTTCCTCTTCCCCCCCTTCTCAGAGTGTAGAGGATGGGCTGTGTACAATGCAAAGATAAGGAAGCAGCCAAATTGACGGACGAGCGTGACACGAGCGTAACTCAGAACTCGGGCTTCCGCTATGGCGCTGACCCGACGCCGCAGCACTACCCCAGCTTCGGGGTCACCGCCATCCCCAATTTCAACAACTTCCACGCCCCCGGCAGCCAGGGAATAACAGTCTTCGGTGGGGTCAACTCTTCCTCCCAGTCGGGGACCCTGCGCTCTCGTGGTGGGACAGGTAGGCTGCCATTGACTCTGATTCACACAACAATCAACACCTGCTTCTCCTTGCCCAATATCATGCAAAGCTCATCTGTGGGGGGCGGAGTTCAGACGTTTTTATGCAAATCAGCTTCCGGCTGTGTACAGCCCCGACTACCAGCAGCAGCACCATGACAACATGTTCCAACACTCCACACTGAAATTAAGAGAGAGGTGAAGGGCCAGAAGAAAGAGACGCATCACCGGGGGGGGCTATAGTGCAGAAGAAGAGATGGCATGTAATGAAAGATGGAAAAGTGGAAGGGGTGGAACTCTGGTGTTGCCTGTTGTTCTTGTGCTCAGGAACTCTCTGTACCATGCAGTTTTAATGAGGCTCAAACTTCCATAAAGCTTGTTTTTTCCCCACCTTTTTTGTGCAAATTGCTTTAAAGCTGTTGCCACATCGGCCCTGAATGATGCTGAATTCTAGTCTTTTGACTGGTTCGTTTACCAGCGGCAGAGATCTCCTTTGGCACTTGAACAAGGCAGCAAATGTAATTTCAGCTGAAACTCTGTGTACTTTCCTTTTCCCAATCTGCAGTACATTACCCATCTGTCCCTGAAACTGGATACACTTCATCTTGGCCTGTTTTTTTTTTTCTCTTTTCATTTTGACCTATTTTATTGACACCACAGTTAACAAGCCGATTATATGAGTAACAGACACCCAAAGTGACGTGTCTGTTGGTTCCTAATAAACCTTTCTGACATTAAAAAATAATGTAGCACGTCAGTGGTCAAAAAAAGAAAAAGAGTGTGAATGGATGATTGGAAATTGAGCTGTGATTGGTTCCATCTGTCTCGCAGGGGTCACCCTCTTCGTGGCACTTTATGACTATGAGGCCAGGACAGAAGATGACCTCAGCTTCAGGAAGGGCGAGAAGTTCCAAATTCTCAACAGCACGTGAGTGATGAGTGCAGTGTGTCTTTGGTTTGCTCTGTGCCGTGAACGTTTGTGCCGTGAAACTACAGGGTTACGCAGCCGTGACCAGGATTGTTGAAGTGGTCGGTCATGGATGGATGGATGGGTTCTCTCTGCCATACAGCTGTATTTCAGTCTTTTGTTATGTTGTAGACAGTCATGTGTGTCTCTCACCATTAGCTGACATGTGAGTGGAGTTTCTCACATAAAAATACTCAAGGAAATACTCAGGTCAAAAGTACCACACTAGGTTCTCCGGTTCTTTTGTTCTTAAGTTGTAATAAGCTGCTTCCGACATGTAATTTAAAGGTTACGGGGAAGGTATTTATGAGCATGAAGTCTTAATCACCCTTTAATTTTAGATAAGTTACTTTAGGCACAACTGTAATGTGTTACCATGTTTCTGTCCGTCCGTCCGTCCGTCCCCCCCCCCCGACCCCTTGCCTCAGTGAAGGGGATTGGTGGGAAGCCCGTTCGCTCACCACGTGCGGAACCGGCTACATCCCCAGCAACTACGTCGCCCCAGTGGACTCCATCCAGGCCGAGGAGTGAGTCACGGCTTTGTGTCCGACGGGCCGGCATCTACGGATGCTTCACCCCGAAACAACAGATTTGCATGTTTATCCGTAGGACGTATCATCAGATCTAAGTAAAATAATCCCACATGGCTCCAGTGACTCTTCCTCGAGCTGAAATACTGCTGTCGTCACTCAGAGCGAAAAAGAGGTTATCTCTCAAATGCTTTTTAATTTTAGCGGCTTGTGCGCTAGCAGAAGTGGACCGGCAGATGTTGCTTAGTAGGCCGTTAGCATTATGTATGCAGCCAGAAGTGACATAAATATCACTTGGCTTGGAGGAAACTGGTCTGTGAACTGGTTTTTCCTCAGAGAAGTTCCCCATTATAAAGGCTTAAGAGCCAGTTCTTTATTTGACTGGTGGCTAAGATGGAAATGTTTACTATATATGCTGTATGCCATAGACTTTTCTAGCAAATACAGTCCAAACTAGCACCTTGCTTAAGGAATTTCAGCCTCGAATATTTTATAATGCAGCTTTTGAATGGAGAGGTTTTATTTTTAAAAAAATAATAATAATTTTCTTAAGACACTGGAGCTTCAAGTTAAAGCACCCATACCCTGACTGAGTAACCCAACGTTCTGGGTAAACCTTGACCAACTGACCTTCCTCCCACAGCTGGTACTTTGGCAAATTGGGCCGGAAGGATGCAGAGAGACAGTTGCTGTCCAGCGGCAACCCTCGGGGCACCTTCCTCATCCGGGAGAGCGAAACCACCAAAGGTAACCATGGCAACGCAGCCCACGCCAGTCGGTGACATCTTCCGGAATAATAAATGAAGAAAGATGTCAACATGAAGGATCTGAGGAACTGAGAATATCTGATTTAAACCAATGGAGGGGGAAAAAATCTAATTAGAAAATCATCTGCAAGAATAACTAGTTATACCAGTAATATGACCTCATAGTTTTTCATTATCACAGAATATTGCGTGGAGCTAGTTTTTCCCTTTTGTTATATTCTTAGCCTTAGACTTCAAAAAGCACTACATCTATCTCATTATTTTCATGTTAGTTTTAATTAAATGAATGAGTAAAGCAGGTGGTAGGTCTGGCGTGGAGTTTATCTCCAGCCATAATTGAGCTCCTCGTGATTATGGGTCCCTCCACACCTAGGGGCCTTTTCCTTGTCTATACGAGATTGGGATGACATCAAAGGCGACCACGTGAAGCACTACAAAGTCCGGAAGTTAGACAGCGGTGGATATTATATTACCACCCGCGCGCAGTTTGAGACTCTCCAGCAGTTAGTTCGGCATTACTCAGGTAAGCATCAAGACAAATGGCTCAACATCAATTGAAGAATCCCAGTACAACATTGGGAAACGTCATACCAATTTTTCTCCAGAACATGGGGTGTTTCTCAATACCAAGAATGCAAAGATCGTACTTGCTAACTTGCCATCCAAGAACAAACTTGGGGCGCGATGAATCATGGGATTGGTCTCCTATGGCGAGGATGCAACCGATGTATCCTTGATATTTGGGGCGGAGCAAGATTAGCATCTGGGGATTTTTGCCGTCCTCTGTACTTGCGTTCTTGAGAATTAGAACTGGTCTTCGACAGTGGAAGATGACATAAAGACATAAATCGGGTACACAAGAACAGAAGTATGGATATTGAGAAACACCCATTGTTCTCAGTCAGGGACTGTTTTTAGGCATCCTTATTGGGCGACCTCTGTTACTGCTGTTGTGCCCATTGCATTATTGGCCAATCTCTATGACTGCTGTTGTGCCCATCGATCATTGGTCGATCCTGATGACCTTTGACTTCCCCTGTCCCGGCCAGAACGTGCAGCTGGCCTTTGCTGCCGTTTGGTGGTCCCCTGCCACAAATGGATGCCCCGGCTCGCTGACCTGTCCGTCAAAACCAAAGACGTGTGGGAGATCCCACGGGAGTCGCTCCAGCTAATCAAGCGCCTTGGCAACGGCCAGTTCGGGGAGGTCTGGATGGGTGAGCAATATCTGGAGCTCCTACACATCCTATTACTTACAGTTATTTACAGATACCTGGGAATGGCCTCCTGTCAAATCAAAGATATGTTAGAATAACTAGAAGAGTCCAAATATGGAGTAGCCAAATTAGTTTGCCTCTCTAGTTTAGAAATATCTCTAAACTGAAATTGCTAAATGTTTTTTTTAATTTCTTTTAAAGTAAATGCAGATACAAACACGGTAAAATACTAGAACCTACAGATTAAAACAAATCATATAGGTATAGGCATTTTTTTTGTTTTTCCATTAAGATTTCCAAATAATTAGAAGTCAAAATAATCAAACTCGGATCTCAAATGTGATAGTTTGTAGTATATTTCACCCTCACCATGGGCTCTATTATACTATTTTTTAAACTATTTCTTTGATTGCTTTGCAGTGTCTACAAATGAATGGTAACTATCATCCAAGTTGGTAGAGCATGGTGTTTAAAGTTCTTTGAAGTGCCAGGAATTTTAAAGCACTGTGCAGTAGTTTGATGAGATGAAACATGGTCCAGAGGATTCTCGCCCTGACATTGGCTGCTTCCTGGTGGCAGGGACGTGGAACGGCACCACCAAAGTGGCTGTGAAGACCCTGAAGCCCGGCACCATGTCCCCTGAGTCCTTCCTGGAGGAGGCCCAGATAATGAAGAAGCTCCGGCACGACAAGCTGGTGCAGCTGTACGCCGTGGTGTCCGAGGAGCCCATCTACATAGTGACCGAGTACATGAGCAAAGGTCGGGAGCCCGCCTCCTTCGCCTGCCTGACCAACCGGAGAGCTTTCGTGAAAAGATCGGCGGGGCGTTGCATCCGTGTGACATTCCTGTCACTTCTTTGTTAGTCACAATATAAAAACTCACTGATCCCAGAAACCCTGTGGTGATTAGTCTCTTGTGCTTGACTAAACACATCAACACTTGCCATAGTGTTTTAATACCGCGTAGTCTGAAAATAGAAATGCAGTGAACTGCATATACTGTGTGGAAGTCACAAGGAAACCTAGTCATTGCTAACGTTTGGCTGCATTCTCTGTATTATAGGGAGTTTGCTAGACTTCCTGAAGGACGGGGAGGGACGAGGACTGAAGCTGCCGAACTTGGTCGACATGGCGGCGCAGGTAGACCGGTCTGGTTCTTGTTTTTGGCGCTGTTGGTAAGGATGAGCAGTAATAACCATGCTGCTTCATGCTAACAAAAACTAGCCTAGTGCTTCATTAGTTGTTCTTTTATTCATATATTCCAGTGTTTAACTTCTTTGTAATGGGTCATCTTTTTCCATTGCAAGTCTGAAATGTAGCACTTAGCATATAGCGCGGAATTGATATGGTCTTCTTGTGTCCAGGTGGCTTCAGGCATGGCCTACATTGAGAGGATGAACTATATCCATAGAGACCTGCGGTCAGCCAACATCCTCGTGGGGGACAACCTGGTGTGCAAGATTGCAGACTTTGGACTGGCCAGGCTAATTGAGGACAATGAGTACACGGCTCGCCAGGGTAAGGGATGGAAGTGGATCTGTGTAATATCTTGCCTCTGCTGCCAGCAGGCCACCCATTCACTCTCGGTCTTCTTCCATTGCGTCATCAGTCAGAAATCTGTAGAGAAAACAGTTGATTCTTGTTGTTTAGTTATTGTTGGCTTAGATACATTGGGTGATGTCATAAGTGTTTCCATGCTAACCGCGAAGTTTTGGACTCCCCAATGGTGATAGGATAACCATCCTTAGCTTGTGCTTGTTTGGGGATTATTTACTGCCCTCCAAGAAACCTGAATGGTCCATCTGCAGTGTCTTTTTAAATATCAGTTCCAGACACGTAGCCTTGAACAATGTCAATGTCAAAGTTAAGAATCCACTACATCCAAGTTTTAAAATACGGAGAGCATGGAACTCCTTTAATGTTTCCAAGTTGATGTTTGCTCCAGGTGCCAAATTCCCCATCAAGTGGACGGCCCCAGAGGCTGCTCTCTATGGGAAGTTCACCATCAAGTCTGACGTGTGGTCATTCGGCATATTACTCACAGAACTGGTGACTAAGGGACGGGTACCGTATCCAGGTGAGTCAGGATGTCCTGCCATTAGAGTGGGATTTCTGGTTGGCTCTCAGGGTTGTCATACACCTACACACATTTCAGTCACCTCTTTTGGCATTATTGTTGGTAATGGTATAAATAATTTAGCACTTCTTTAGATCTGTAGCCGTAGGAAGTAGGAATATTTATGCCATTTCTGGAACCTTAGATCACTTTTTTGGCTGAAATGTTAAGCATCAACTGCGCCTGCCTATTCATCCCCCTGTCTACCCCCCAGGCATGAATAATCGAGAGGTCCTAGAACAGGTGGAACGGGGTTATAGAATGCCGTGTCCGCAAGACTGCCCCATCTCCCTGCACGAGCTCATGGTTCAGTGCTGGAAGAAGGACCCCGAGGAGCGGCCCACCTTCGAATACCTGCAGGCCTTCTTAGAAGATTACTTTACCGCCACCGAACCTCAGTACCAGCCCGGGGACAACCTTTAGGTCTGACCAGCAGAGGGAGCTGCTGAACCTCCTAGTGCCATGACAAGACTGCCTTGCAGGGAATATTTCCAGGGCATCGCAGTGCCCAGTGGATATATTCAGCTTCCTGGTTTCCCCCAAACCCTTTGACATGCACCCTTAGTACCTGACACATTGAAATGGGAAGAGAGTCGATGTATTTAAAGGCCGGGGTTTCGAATTTTGATCATGTTGGCTCCTTGTAAAAGTAAAAGGTGGGAAAAGGTAGCAGGTTCAAACCGTCATGACATAATAACAACATGCCTGTATTTACTGTAAATATCATTTGCTTGTTTACTTATCCGCTGGTTTGTGTTTTAATTTTGCCTGTTGGTTTCTTTTTTTAATACCGTGTTTTGTCCGGGACAATAATACTGAATACAGTAATGTTGATAGTAAATATTAAACATGCACTGCAATATTCTGGAAACCTGCCTCAGTGTTAATAAACCTGTACAAGGATCTTCATAACGCAGCCATTATTTTCTTGAGATGGATTTTCTGCACTCTTGTGAAATGGGAAATGTATTGAACAACAGGATAATGCTCTCCTAATCGTTAATGAATAGCTATAATTCACATGTTATTTATATACTCTGTGGGTATATTGTCTATACTGGATATGAAGTTATGGAAAGTTGTGGAAGGTACGTATGTTTAAGGGTAGCCTGGCTCAAATGGTACAGTTCGTGTGTGTGTGTGTGTGTGTGTATGTGTGTGTGAGTGTGTGTGAGAGAGAGAGTGCTAGAGAGATCTGTGTGTGATCTGCATGTTTTTCTCGTATTTGTATACCCTCTTCTGTACCTTTGCTGAATTGGTGCTATACCCCAGATGTACACTTCGAAGTGTACACTTGTACACTTAAGGGTCATGTGATTGGCTGGCATACTGTCCAGGGAACGTTTTGCCTGACATGCTATGCTTGCCAGGGCAAGCTCTGCGTAACTGAAACCCTTGGCTAAGTTACCATTTACACATAACGCTTGTGAGCCCAATTTATTACACCATAGCACCAACTGATGTGCCCAAAAAACTGAGTAGTGTGTGGAAGTGACCCTTATCAACAACAATGATCAAATACATGCTGTGATGTAAAACTTTCTTCATACTTAAATTGTAATTCATTGTTTGGTCGGAATGCAATAATGATGTAAAATGCAGCACCTCCAGTTTACTTGATAAACTGCTGTGAGAGTTTAGGCCGTACAGTTGAGTGTGAAATTCCAAGGTCAGCCCTAAGCACGCATGACCACGCATGTACTACATAATCAGCGCAGTTTACATCCGGCCCAAAGAATGAGCTTTGGAGTCACATTTGAACAGCACGAGAGATTCTGCAGAACCTGTCAAACAACATACTGGGACCTCACTAGGGCTGAAAAAATCTTGCAGATACGGCAGGTTTGCACAGAAGTGCTATATCTGATATGGGCTCCAGCTGGTATCCAGTGATACTTGCGGAGGTTTTTGGATGAGCTCCTATATGGCAAGTCGAAGCTCAGTCTGGACAGGGCTACAGCAATCTTGGTGAGAGATGACAATATCCTGAAACACCAGCTGGGTCAACAGCTTTACACGGAAAAGCTGAATATCTACAGTGTGAATTTCCATACGTAACATAACGTCATTCACGGTGAACTACCAAAATTAATGCTTGTTTGGGTCACGAAAAGTAGCGAGATACTGAATTATATTTATTATCATTAATAATAGAGAGAGGGGAGAGAATTCATTTGGACTAATGATTTAATTCAACGTGTATTATTTTACGACTGCGCCTCGTCTACAGAAATTTGCATTTACTGTATACGTGACAGGCCTGCTTTGCATAAATTTTCCCCGAAGAAAAATGTTTAGACACTTCCTTGTATGCAGTTCAGGGCATGCTCTTTTGTTGACTCAGTGTCAAAAATATCCGCGAGAAGGAAAACACGGAGGTAATTTAGCGATTTCTTCTTCATTGTGCGTTTTAGTGAACAATTAAAAAATCATGTTTTGTGTGTATTGAAACGACTTATTAGCGCTTATGACATTAAACACTAATGAAAAGCAGCTTTCCAATGGAAATTTTCCAGAAGGAAATAAAAAGAAACGAGTTTTACTGCTCCGTTTCCCTTTTTGTAATTATGATTCCTTACAGTTACAATGTCATTGTTTTAAAAAAATCAGAAAAGTGAAGTACTATGTTGGTTAACTACTGTCTTCTGTTTCTCTTATATGTTGTTATTTTAAAATATTCATATGTCAAAATCTATCAGTGTATGATCGACTGTTCATTTTATGATGTGATTGTATGTGTTTCCCAGCCTAGAAACTGAATACCGGTATAGCACAATGGAGTCTTTCATAGGTAAGATTCACTCTTATAGTCACGTTTAGATATATTTAAATAATAATAATAATTTCCGTATAACGCGTTATTTCATTATAAAAATTCTCTCTCATTCAACCCACAGCTTACCCAGAAATTAAACTTCAGTCAAACTGGTTATAATGTTATTCTTTTGTTACAACAACAGTGTGTGAGTTTTGTGTTTGTTGTGTTTTTTTGTAAAATGTAACCATTACAAAGTCATTTCGGCGAAGCACAGATACATATATTGATACAGATTCTATAGATACTTACCGTCTCATAATTCTTTAGGCTGACAATGCGAGACGGCAACTTTTAAATAATCTGCGGTTTTTCATGCTGTCCGGTAAATTGCCCGTGATTTTGTTCTAAGGCCCGAGCATCCCGATAGAGACAGACGAGTCCATGACTGTGCAGGAGTTGGTGAACAAACTGAAGCAGCAGCAGTGCTTGGCAGACAGTGGCTGTGAATCGCCAGTAAGAGGCAGGTTCACAGCTCCCAGGCTCACGGTTAATGAACACAGACAGCCTTGTGAGGGGAATATTGACTGGAGACAGCACTGGCAAAGCCTCGGGGGAGTTTCCTGTCCAACATCATCAAGCTCACGGTACTTCGGTGGATCTCAGCCCCAAATGACGGGGCCAAAATCATCTCCTGACCCTCCAAGCTTCTCCCAGGTCCCTGTGGAGACAGGACTCCCCGATACTTATCCCGGACAACAAGCGTGCAGTGGGGAGGGTTCGAGGAATACCGCTGGCTTCTGCCCGGACTGGCAGGATTTGATCAGACCTGTGGACCCCCCAAGCAAGGACACAGGTTATGAATCTCAGACTCAGAAGGATATATGTGAAATCGACCCGCCTCTTCCCTTGCGCTCTGATATTGAATATTACGGCCTTTGCATGGAACAACAAAGTAAGTGACACCTACGCAGTTGTTTTCCTTTTCATTTTCTTGCCCCCCCCCCTCTTTTTTTTTTTTTTTTTTTTTTTTTTTTTTTTTTTTTTTTCCCCCCCCCCCCTTTTTTTTTTTTTTTTACAGTTTTTTGGACTAGGCTGGATTATGTGTGGTTTTCTTGTGCTCTTGTTTTAAACAGAAATATACAACAGAAATCTGTAATACTGAGAGATCTGAAGTGTCATACCTAAAATAACAATGTGAGAGTATGAGAGTGCTTGCGGCTGTTGTATATAAAATCCATCCATCCATCCATCCATCCATCCAGTTTTTGACCCTATTCAGGGTCGTGGGGGTGGGGGGTATCCTGCATGCTGTGAGCGTAAGGCAGGGAGCAGCCTAGGATGGGCTGCCAACCCATCACACGGCACACATACCATTCATTCACACATTACATAGAACATGCATTAAACATTTATCTTTTATGTTTGTATATTTTTTAAACGAATGGATTATTTAGTGTAGTAGGGTGATGCAGCCGTTAGCAGTGTAGCCACACACTTCCGAGGATCAGTCCTGCTACTGATTCTCTGTGAGTGGCGTTTACATATTATCATACGTTCATGTGAGTCTTCTCCTGCTGGCTCAAGTCGTCTGGTTATGGGACATGCTGTCTCTAAACCGCCATAAGTGTGTGGCCTGTGACAGACTGCCATCCTGTCTAGAGTGTGCCCTGTGCTTCCTGGAAGGGCCCCCATTCCCACCGTGACTCTGTACCGCACAGGCGATTATGGTGGATGGATGAGTGGATTAATCTCTGTGACTCAGTGGGTTTGGGATCTGTGCCTGTCTCCCGAATCTTGTGGGTTTGAATCCCACAGCCGGCAAAACCACGTCTGCCACATTTAGGCCCTTAACTGTTCCAGGGGTGCTAAATAAATGTAATATGGACAGTTTGTCACATCTTAATTAGTATCTTATTTTAGCTACCTGGGTAAGGAGTGTCCCATTATGTCTGATGCAAGGTGACTGAAGAGCCTGTTTAGAGAATGCAATAAGATAACACGTGTACATATGTTTATATTAGCCTTGCTGCTTTTTCCACCTTTTCAGGCTGTAATCCCATGAAGGGCAGGCAATGTGGCACTGCTGGTCATCAGCAGGTTCCAAGGGAAAGTAACGATCCCGGGAAGTGTGGCCCCCCGGTGCCTTTTGGCTATTCTCAGCACCCGTACTACCACTGTAAGTTCGACAAAGGAGGTTCCTCAAGCCCAAATCGCTGGTGAGTGTGCCGTCAAAGGGATTGCCATTATCGTTTTTAATTAAGCAACATGGGTTATATTATCAAGGTTAAAGCTGGAGTTAGGGGTATGCTGAATACATAGGAGAACAAATTACAATTTTGAATATATTTACGATGCAAGTAAATATTGTATATTAAAAATGGATGTAGCCAGGGGCGGATTAACGCACAGGCTAGATATGGCTTAAGCCTAGGGGCCCCACGTGTGCCTGCCTGCAAGGGGGCCCCCATTGGCGCGGAGGGGGGTGGGGTTGGGGGGCCCACAGACTACTGTAGCCTAGGGGCCTCTGTACACCTTAATCCGCCCCTGCATGTAGCAAGTAAGGTGAAAACATCTAATTCTACTGTATTCAAAATCAAGAATAAAGATTTAGAAGTATGTATATCATTTATTTTGAAAAACAGTGTAGTACCATCATTTTCTACATCCTTTATACATAGATTTCCATGGAACTTCAGTTACCTTAGCTGGGTTTTTAGATGAACAAGCTCCAACAATTTGAAATAACCGGAGCTGTATTTTTGAGTTGCTGGTTCTGATGATTCTAAAACCCTGAGTAACATTAGACCAGGTCAACATGTCCATTGCTCTCTACCTCCTCACAGGCCCAAACCCGAAGGCCCCCCCAAAGCTGCTGTCGCCGTCAACGCTCTGCGTTCTGCCCCTTCACCGGCAGAGGTCATGTCTGAGGTCTGCGTGGTCCCTGTGTCACCCCAGGCTCCTGGCGTGGGTGAGGCTTGCTCCCGGGAACCAGGGATGAAGAAGACCATCAGTCTGCCTAATGAGTACCGTAAGTACCGAGTTGTTGTGGAATTTAACAGTGCTAACATGCTAAATTAAAAGGTACAACAATCAAAAATCCATAGATGTGTTTATAAAACTGTTGAACACCTTGAA